CCCCCTGGCGGGCGAAGGGAATCGGGGTGGGCTTTGCGAATCCGGATCTCTTTGTCGATCCCTTTTCTCTAACTTTCTCGGGTCTCTGGCGAAGTGGACGGACTGGGAGCAAGAGTCGGATTGACCGCGAAGAAAACGGATTAAGAGAAGGTGGAAGGGGCGCTGTTTGGATTCAGGGCTGGAAACGCTTTTTTTTTTTGCCTGCAACTCCCCAAACACCGGTTGTGTTGGCTGGGGATTCTGGGAGTTGTAGTCTTAAAAGAAGCATATCCTAGAGCTGAAAAGGGCTTTTTTCGATTAATCACACACAAGAGCCTGCACCGATTTCCTCCACCCTTGCCCCCTCCATTTGAAGGGCTCACCTTTTTAACAGTATTTCTCATCTGCTTCTGCCCCCAAAAAACTGTGATGAGAGCACACCAGAGTGTTGTGTGGTGTGTGTGTGTGAGTGCAGGCATGTGAAGAGAGGAACACCTGTCTCCTTTCAAGAAGTTGTGTTAGGGCAAGGATCTCTTTGCGTCGACATTTTCGTGCCCCAGAGCTTTTTATTTTGTTCTCTATATTGCATTTTCGTCTTATGCCTCTGAGAGGTTTTGGCTGGGAAGGTTTTTTCAGTGAATGTCAATCAACTCACCATCTGCCCTCCGTTGTTTTTTCTTTACTTCAGATTCTTTTTCCCGCCTTTTCAAACTGTCGATATCGGGTCGGTGCCGACCGTGGAGTTACGGAGCCAACATATAAATGTGGGCAGCATATAAGTTTAAATAAATAAATAAGTGAGCAATTGGAGTGCAGTTTTCTATCAGTTATTATGTAACTAGTTGGTTAGTCAGTGATAAAGCCAACAGAGAACCAGTTAAACTCAGTGATGTAACAAATTAACATTTTCCCAGAATACGTATATTTATTTTCATATAAGAACTGTGAATAAAAATTAAACGTTTTGTTTAAAAAATGGGCAGGATATAAATCAAATCAAATAAATAAATAAATAAGTAAATAAATAAATTTTCAATTACCAGAGGCTCTAAGTGAATGTATTGAAAGAGATAAGTGCCAGCTGAGGCAAACTAAGAGATAAAGTGTGGTGTACTGGAGGAGACTGTAGCTCAGTCTGCTCTGTAGGTTCCTGCCAGAACCATTTTATCTCCTCCTTAAGAAGAGGAATATTTATTATTATTAAAAACACACTCAATTTCCTCACTCCAACTTTGCCACCCTGACGTATTTTAGGCTAATTTTCCAATGTGCCCCCCCCCCAAGCAGTTCAAAAAAGGCATCGTTGAACTGGAAAAGTTGCAGAAGAGTGCATTTTTCAAACCCTGCACATGATCCCTTTCAGAGGTTTGGTCAGGGAGGGAGCTACAGTAAAAAATAAATAACTTTTCCTCTCTACCTCAGACTGTTTTCCCCGCCTAGTGGTGAAGGCTTTTGGGAGTTTTAGTCCAAGAACATCTGGAAACTGAAGACTGGGAACCACTGCAATAAGATGAGGGAAGGAGAAGTGGAAAACATCAGCCAAGCCCTCCCTAAGCACTCATCACAGGAGAGGAAAACTTGTTAAGATGCTCCTCTAACTAGGTTCCCATAGTCTAACCCTAATCAAATAAGCTACTTCCCGAAAGAATAGATTTGGTAAGTACAGGCATAGAACACAGGTGACCTACCTTTTATGTAAAGGTATTTTCTGCACCACTTTTCCAATTCAATGCATCCTGCCTCTCAACCCCCACCCTTTTTATTCTGCCCTGTGCCCAGTCCTGCCCCGTCCCTGTTTGCCGCCTTGCCTTCCTCACTTCCTTCCTGACCCCCTTATCAAGGTGTCTTTTGAGTTTTGAGAATCTGCTGTCTCCTCATGCGCAGGCCCTCCTAATTCTGCCCCCCCCCGGTCTTTTTCCAGGTTCATCCTCGCATTCCCTGAGGTATTTTTGCACTGCTGTCTCAGAACCCAGCCAGCAGCTGCCCCATTTCATCACCGTGGGGTATGTGGATGGCCAGCCCTTTACTGAGTATGACAGCATCACAAGAAGAAGACAGCCTCGAGCGCCCTGGATCAAGAAGGTGGAGGAGGACGATCCTCGGTATTGGGACAGGAACACCCAGATAGCACAAAACAATGAGCAGGTGTTCAGACGGAACTTGGAGATCCTAAGAAATCGCTATAACCAGAGTGGAGGTGAGTGCAGGGCCAGAGAGGAACCAACGTGTTTTTTTTCAATCCCACACCTCCTCTTGTCCCTTCCAGGGGTGGAAAATGAAGAGAGGTGATTGCGGCGCAGAAGAAAAAAGGGTTGCAGCCCAGGAGAGACCCTCCTCTCCTCACCCCCACAAATGATCCATCTGATTACCCCCCCATAGGAGAATGTATTGGGGGTCCCCCAGTTCCACCCTCAGGAAACACAGAAAGGAAAATCAGAGGGGTGTGTGTTTGTGTATACACGCACGGATCCATTTCTAATTCTTTGTCTTTTTTTCTCTTTTGGAAAACGGTTGGAAAAGCAAAAGGCCCTTGAAGCCTGTGGGTCCATTCTTACCCTCTGTTAGGGGCAGGCGATTAAGGTAACCAGTCCTCTCTGAGGGAATATGCCGAGTACATCACAAATTATGATAGAGA